GGCTTCCTCTTTGTCAGGGCTGCTTTCTGGGCTTTGCTCCGAGACCTCCTGGACAGGGGAGAACTGGCACAGCTTGCTGCTGCCCTCCAAAGCAGCCGCGTGTTTGTAGTACTCCAGGGTGTCTTCCGAGGAGGCGAAGCCCTGCACCGCTGCCGTCACGCAGGTGCTGCTGGCCGAGCAGGACACGGATTTGATGTCCAAGGAGAAGGAGCGCTTCAGCCGGTTGCTGTCCTCCACCTTGTCTAGGGAGACGTGCAGCCCGTTGATGCCCTGCACCAGCGGGCCGTCCTCCAGCGGGGCCGGGTGCCCCCGCGGCGCGCTGCCGCAGTCCGGCTGCTCCACCCGCTCCGAGGCAGCGGTGAGGCAGAGCTGGTTCGTGGAGAGGCTGCTCTGCCCACCCTCCGGCACCAGCACGTGCTCGCTGCTTTTCTCCAAATGCAGGAGCTTCAGCTTACTGATATGTCCAGGCTGCCCGCTCTGGTTCTTGATCTTCTTCTCAAAGTCCAAAAGCTGGCCCAGAAAGTTGAAGTTGGGAGAAATGGTTGGCCTTTTTTCTTTCACAAATCTGGAAAGAAGAGACAAACAACAAAAGAATGAATCAAAGGACCTGCTGCTCCGGCCTGAGATAACCCCGGCGTGTTTGTTGTGAATGTTAACAGCCCAGTCTTAGCTTGTCAGGATGCCCAGGCTGAGGTTCAGTCAAGCACTGGAAACACAAGATGGGGGAAAAAAAAAAAAAAGGCTGCATTTTTTTTAAAGCAAGATCATGTTGGATGCTTTCAGTTCTCTCTGTAGCTTACTCAAAGGTGGCTAAAAAAGGGGAAAGAAAGCATTCACTTCTTTATGATGGCCACTACATGGTTTGAGGGAATAATTTTCCTTACTTTACTTCACCAGTGGGATCTCTGCTGCCTCAGTTTCTAACCAGAATTAAGAGCCCCTCAAGTTCTGCATGAACAGCATCAGAGCTCCAGTCAAGAGACGTGGGCCTCCCCTGCGTGCCAGCAAGCAGACCCACCTTCCCCACCACTCAAAGCGATGAAACTTCGTGATCCTTTCACCTCTCCCATGCTGCTGTTACTGCAGGGTGTGCTTCCTGCTCTCTTTATCTTTGTCAGCAAGATAAAGAGCTCTGATACATACTGACCTTATGCAGCAAATGCCTGTGATTTCTACCACACACTGGTACTGACTGATGACATGATAATCAAAAAGAAAACCAGAGAGGAGCAAACGCAGCATTAAAAGGAAAACATTCTCTCCAGCTCTGTAGGTGTTCAGCAGTAAAGGGCAACACTATTGCCCACTGGAGGAGTTGGTCCTGGAGGAAGCAGCCTCTCTGGCATACAGGTGCCAAGCTAAGCTTGCACTTACCTACTCAGCTGAGTATGGACAAGGTACAAATACACACTTAACATGTTTTCCTGAACCAGGACTCTAAATGTATAGAAGTCTTAAGTATTCCAGGTCCTGCCATATACCTCAAAGTTAAATGCAAAACCAGATTGCTACCTGTGTGATTTGTAACATAAGCTAAGTAAGTACTCTCTGCTTCTTGCAGGCTGTAAAACTGAAAGCATTTCTGGAACTATGAAGGTACCAGATGACAAAGGGAATTAACAAGGGAAGAAAACTTGAAAAGCTAAATCTAGTACAAACACACACGTGATGTGTCACTGGGAAAATTAAATATTATTAACAAGAAAATCTCTCTGGGGATCTGTAGAGAAGGTGCGTGTTCAATGATTAAAAACAGCATGAAAACATTTGAAGGTGCACTTGTGCATGTAGGTATCCACTAGCACCAATGCAAGCAAGCACATGAAAAATATCAAACCAAAACTTACATTTTTCATTTTAAGTTGCCAAAGAACAAACAATAGTAGGAATAGGTGAGTTGACATGGTGACTGGGAGGCTCAGATTGCACAAAGTGGTAGTGGAAAGTTCCATCACAAAGTCTCAACACTGGCAAAGTGAGACAACTCTAAGTCTCCTCAGGAGATACTCTTAAGGTTGATCCCCTAGTGCTGAATTTGGGGTCTTTTACTCCAGTGAAAGCAATTTGATCATAAGAATTCATACAAGCTTCCTTCATTCTTTTCCAGTCAAAGCTACTTGTACTTATTACTGTCTTTGTTATTTAAAGCAAGATCCTTCTGGCCAATGTTCTCTCTTCTGTGCCTCTCCCTTCCACTTCTTCCTTGCCGTACCCCAATATACTGGGCAGCTCTAAATTTAAAACCTGGCTTTTAAAAACTGAAAAGTTTTAAATCTTTGCGAAGTTTTAAAATTCAAAATGCACACCCTTTTTTTCCAATTGGAAAACGGGCATAACATCTAATGTTGATGTTTGTTTCCTCTGCATCGTCCATTATACAAAAGAAAATATTAAAACATGTTTATTTCCTCAGATCTTTCACTTCAAGTAACAGTGTCACCTTTCTATTTTTGTAATAGTCAGACAAACATTTTGCCTGATGACTTTCATTAAATCAGAGAAAAATATTTTTCTTTCAAGTTTTGCCAACAAGAGACCCTAAACCAACGAGTGAAATGTGCTGCAGACTGTTCTCAATAGCATCCAAGGAAATACAGCAAAGTACAATCTAAATTTCAGAGTGGTTTTTCAGTATTAAAACAGTGCAAAGGAAAAAAAGCCTAGGAAGATGAATCGCTCACACTCAGTTGACAGTTCTGGTTAGAAACAACCTAGGATTTCACAGAGGAATTTAGAGGCAGCACATCAGAAGTCCCCTGAAGAATGTGCATTTTAGAAGTGTTTACTGCTCTACAACTCTAACCTTCACACCACTACAGCCTGAGACCAGATGGATTTTTTTAGTGATTTATGCATCCACATCCACTAATTCATCCACACTATCAATACCCAAATAACCCTCACCTACCAAACCTGTTTCACCATATATGTTGAAATTACTGCACATCACCCAACTGCCAGCAGGTTCTAGTGAGAAACCATGGAACATTTCTAAAGGCAACGGGAGACAGTCGTAGTTCACCTCCTGACACACACTTATTTCACTGCATATGTCATTATGTTCATCAACTTAAAATGTCCCATGGAAATCACACCCTATGTGGGAATATCAAATGTTCATCTTTGTCTTCACCAGTGTTTTTGGGACAGTAGCAGCAAGCACAGCAGTGATTTGAAAGGTGCTCCTCTCCAGCTGCTGCACGGTGGTTGTTCGGGTGGCTGTGGCCCTGCACGTGTTACGGGGATGTGCCAGCTGCACCAGCTCACACAGAAAGCCCAGCAAAAGGGAAAACATCTCTTTTTTTCTGCACAGCACAACAAAGCGGGTTGTGAAATGAAATACAGAAGTCATGGTAAACTGCAACCAAGCCACCTGGGATGTAGTGAAGTGTTCACAATCCAACTGTAGAAAAAATGGGATTTGAAAGGTTAAAAAGGGGAAGAGGGAAGGGAGTCGCCATGAAAATTCCTCAATGCCACAAAGAGCTGATACTTGAAAATACTTTCTCCCAAAGTTTCTGGTTGACTTTGATAGCATTACCATGTACCCAACTGTAGCCAACAGCTCCAACCTAGGATTTGTCATAAGAATGATTAGAAATACTCTTCCTTAAACCCGAACCATTCCATTCTCTCTCTGACTTACAGGATATTGTGACATCCATCCTATAGCCGTGTGTGTACACACACACACACACACATATTTAATAAGCAGTTTAAATTCCATGTATTTGCCTACTTGGACCAAAGTCCAGCATCAGCACTTTGCAGGTGGGGAATGGATGTTAGTTGGTGATGCTTCCACACCACCATGAAGTGCTTGATGGAGGAAGCCTACATTTAAAACAAGAGTGTGCAAAGGCCAGTGAACTACCAGATAAAATAACATGTCTGCTTCTACCCTTGGCCATATAACCTTTTATTCTTCAGCTTAAAAACAAGTCAGCAGGCTCAAGAATGAATAGGAAGGGAAACGTTCTCCTTACCTGTAAGCTTCATCTAAGGACATATCCATTCTCTTCATGATATATGCAATAGCGATTGTGGCAGAGCGAGATATTCCAGCTAAACAGTGCACTAACACGTGGCCATTTGATGCTTTTGCTTTTTCTGCATAGCAAAGAAATTGGCAAGTGTCACACTCAGCAGCATTACACCACAACAAGAAGTTTGCAAAGGAAAGCAATGTTCTATCAGAGTGTTCACAGCTTCCAAATCAACTGCTAATTGTAAAACCTCATGGAAGCTTGAAACAAAAATCGTTTCATTTCTCTAGCAGTGGATGGCATTGAGGAGAGAAAAAGCATGTGACTGCCCCCAGGAAACATACTGCACTTACAGCACCCTGTGTTTGAATGTGCACATAAACAAGCCTATTTAGATGTCTGGGAAAGATGATTGTTTCTTATTCTATATGCAAGTAAAAAGCAAGCATTCATGCTGGAACAGTTTGGCCAGTTGGAGTTTGGCTAGCTCAGGGCTTAAAGCTGAAGACAGGATCTGTATGTCCAGTTTTCTAATGTGCTCTCTGCAGGCATGGATCAGGCATCTACCAGGTTGCCAGAGAGCAGAGCTGTCTTCTGAAAAAGTGTCTTTGTCCCTCAGGTGCTGGAACATGCAGTGGCAGAAGCTCCTTACATTAGTTTGCTTCTCTGCTCACAAAGTGATGGTGATCATGTCTGGAGATCCTCAGGACATTTTCATACCACCCAGAAAGCATTCAGTTCTTCTCCAGCCAAAAGAGCATGGCAAACACACAAAGGAATCCAGAAACTGTTTTTAGAGAGAGAATTAAAATTTTCTTCTCACCTATAAAATCAACTGATTTATCCAACCAAGGCAAAATTTTCTCACAAAAGCTGTCGTTCACAGGCACTCTCAGGAAATGGGATTCTGGGATAAAATCTGGCTTTGGACAGGTATTGCTGGCATTCAGCACATAGCCAATGTCATTCTGCTGCATCAGCTCCTAGGAACAGAGAGAAAGATTAAGCCTAGAGAACTCAAATGGTACTTCTGGCACATTACAAAGAAACTAGGAGCTCAAAGCATATCATAAAGCTAAAACCCAAACTGGAATTCCTGTTAGAATTGCTCTGGCTGTATTAGGGGCACATTTTTATTTATTTATTTATTTATTTTAAATTTCCTTTCTCAACTTCTAATTCTTGAAACAACTTTTAATGAGACACCCAAAGGGTCCAAATAACATATAGTCTGCAAAGCCCATACAAAAAATAATGGTAGAACATTATAGAACCATAGAATCACAAAATCATCAAGGTTGGAAAAGACCATCAAGTCTAACCATCTGCCCTACAATCCCCAACCACTAAACCATCTCCTGAAATACCACGTCCACCCGTTTTTTGAACACCTGCAGGGATGGTGCCTCCACCACCTCCCTGGGCAGCTTGTTCCAATGCCTCACTGCTCTTTCTGTGAAGAAATTTTTCCTAATATGCAATCTGAACCTCCCCTGGTGCAACCTGACCCCATTATCTGCTACTAGGAAGCATCTCTTCAAAGAGCATTAATTTTTTTGGTACTTTGGTTTAAATTTTCACCATTCTCACCATACAAGCTGACAATATATCCAAACACTTCCCACATGAAGTTTGCTGACCCAAATATATGTTTTCTGGATCACATACCTAAGACTGAGGTTGCCCCATCACAGAGACCAATGAGAAATACTAAATGAAACTGATCTCCTGCAGTCACTTCTTAAAATACCTAGGACTTCCTTGCTTCTAAGACTGAGAGAAAGAGCTGAGTAAGAGCTGAACACCTTGAATTAGACCATTTTCACACGGCACTGTTCACAGACTTTTTGGAGTTCTGCTTTGTGATTTATGATTGAGTTGCTCATATTTCCATTTTTAGTCTTTAGTCCCCTTGCATCTTGGAGATTACCACAGTAACAAGCAATGAGGTTCAAAGGGTAAGAGTCAGCTGGGCTTTTTTAATAAGTCCATTTTCATGATTGCAAATAGAAAAAAAGACACCTCTTTTCTTCACCTTGCCATACTCTTTGCATTTAGAACTATTAGAAGTAGGTTACCTTAGTGCCAAAACATGTGAAACAAGTACTAGAGATGGCTCCACCAAAACCATCCAGTCTCCTGAAAATAAGCATCTTGCCACAGAAAAGCAATTAAGCAGGTTGAAGAAATACTGATTAAACAACTTTTCTGGCTCAGGTATGACCTGGCAGTAAGTGACATGCAGTGCTACACAGTGAATACAAACACTGGGAAGCTTTTGGCCAGATTTCTGTGGAAGCTCATGTCTGAAACTAAACTGAAACATAAAAAATAAAAAAAGCAAAAAGAAAATATGATTTAAATCCCTTTGCTTTTACAGCAATTACACAAAGAAGAAAATTTATGTCCATCTATGGGAGCAGTAGCAAGAACAAATTCTTCCACTGCAGATTTCAACTGCAGGTCTGCCTGTATGAAAATAAAGCCACAAAGCCAAATGGACACTTCTTCTCCACAGGTATTTTTTGCTGCAAGCATAAGATGTTTTGGTGAGGAGAAACAGGGATATGGCTGTTTAGCTGAAGAGCCAGAACTCTTGCCTTGTTAAAATCACAGCAGTTTAAATAATGTCAGGTATTTAGTACACATGTATGTTACAGTGTGGATGTAGGAGGGATAATACAGATACATCTATACACATGCCTGAATTAAATGTTCATTGAGAACAAAGGACTGCAGGGGACAAGGGATCTACCTCAGTCATTTACAGAAGGAAGTATTTACAAATGCCATGGGATGCATTTTAAACAAGGAATTTACATGAATCTCTGCTGAATTTTGTTGTCTGGAGCAAAATGAGCAGCTCCTCCAAACTTTCATCCAAAGACCCTCACATGCTGAGGTGCCTGAACATGTGGGCACTTTAAACTAATGAACGCACATTATGTCATAAACATACTTATCAAGAGGAACAGTAGATGACCAATTACTTGCAAAGCAAATAATCAGAAAAATCATTTCAGCAATGGTAACAAATTTTAGAAGGGTCTGAAGGTGTCAAAGTAAATTCTCAGCCTTGCTGCTTCTTACTAGTTTCTGCTAGTTTCCTAGGTCATGCTCCCAGCAGAGCTCAGCTTTTCATCAATGACAGCAAATTGCTGTATGCCACTGAGATCCTGCTCTCCCTTCCTTCACATCTCCCCAGCTCAACCAGCAAGCTCTCTTCAGCCCTCCATGCCTCTCATGGCCCACTTCATCACACCTTCTTTTACTGTATTTAGCTCTCACACATCAAATAGATCTAGTAGTTCAAAAGCAGGAGTGCTGCACGGAAGTAGGGGAATATGTGAAATTATCCAGAGAGGGAAGGTCTTGGGAATGGGAATCTTGGCAGAGGGGACTAACTACTGCTAGACCTGTGGTATCGTAGGTGTGCAAAGGGGACCCCTGATCTGCCTTCTCTGCCTTGCTGTGCTGGGCTACACAGCTTTCCCCTTCTAGGATCCCAAGATCTTCAACATCAGCTTTTGCAGAATTGGTATCTGTTTCAGATGACTACATTGAAATACTGTCCCCAAACCAACTTTCACCCCCTGCTTTCTCTGGCTGAAAGTGAGTGAGGAACAACTGGAGTAGCCGGTTCAAAAGCACACACAAGGCCATGAACGGTGTCATGCAGAAGGTACCACTAACAAATGAGCTGCCACGATGCACATTTGTTCAGAATATGAATTTTTGAGATGGAAAAGCTTATTATTTCTTCTAGAACATAAGTGCTGGTGGGCTGCACAGTCCAACTATCACGATTCCACAGTTATGCAAGGCCTTTGATGTGGAATTGATTATTCAAATGGGAACAAGAAGGCCGCAGACGCCAAGTCTGAAATCTCCGAGCCAAAAAAACACCCAAAAAATGTGTTAGTGCTTGTCTTTGAGACTAAGGCTAAAGAAAAGAGTTATGCTTCCTTCTGTTCTAAAGTATCAATCATTCCCTGTGCAACACGCTCCAATATAATAACCACAACAGTGCCTTCATTGTACAGCACCCAAGAGGAAGAAGTGAATTATGATGGGAGGAAGATCCAGAAATCCTAATACTAACAACTCTGTGAATAGAAGGTAAATGCTCTTTTGTCAGCTTATTTACATTTTATGACTTGTTTAATCTGAAAATTAATGGCACCCTAAAATGTTATTTTGTTCCAGGAAATACAATCCAGGTCTGGAAGAGAAGAAAGAGAATAGTTATGCAAGGAGCAAAGCAGAAAGTTTTACAGTGTAAATGCTGGTACAGACCATGAGATGGAAGTAAGGGCCTCCTTCAGGCCCATAACCACAACACTGATTTTTTTTCTGCTACACTAACTTCCAGAGAGGACACTGTAGGAACTGAAGTTAGAATTAGTTTGACTGTCTTTCACAAAGAGCAACAAAGATCTGTAAAAGTAAGTACCCTCTTGCAATGCCACCAACATATCATACAGAGGTAACCACCCGTTTTGTGGTCTCACACTGAGACCCCAAAAGTGAAATGAACTTTTCACTTAGAACTTGTTATTATTTCAACCCTGGAAAAAATTAAATAATTACGAACATTTTCAGAATGAAGCACTTAGTAAAAAATACATTAAGTTAAACCACAAAGAATCTCCTAAGACTTTTCAGAAGTAATCATGAATGCTTGGTTTGTGTCCTTCACCAAGATTAGTGTTTGCCTTTCATAGCGTTATCTGCTGAGGTATCAGTGGCAAAGAGCATCAGTATTCTTAAAAGGTCATGAATACAGATTGTCCTGCAACAAGATAAGTATTTCCCTTCCTGTGCACTCAGAGATAAGCTTATAAAGATCCTGAAAAGATGAGCTCATCTTGATAAAACATGCTGAAAGTTTATGTCTTCAAACTGTCAGATTGAACTGCTGTGCAGATTAAGAGCTCTTCTTGCAGATCTTTTTGAGACATTAAATTTTAGAAAAATCAGTATGTCTGGCCAGTGAGAGGAATAATGGGAACTCACAGGTAGCATTTGAAGGCAAACATAAGGTCACCATCTACAGCTCCATCTTCTCATTTTCAGAATCTTGCTAGAATTTAGCTGAAAAATGTTTTTTTTTTAAATCTGAACTCAAATTAAAAAGCCCAAACTCTTCTAGTCTTAACAGAAGGTTGATTTCTTGTTGCCAGTAACCAAGAAAGCAGCAAGGCCATTAAACTAGAACATGCAAATGTAACCACTTACCAGCTCCTGGACTGTTGTAACAGAGACAGAACTTTGCTTCTTAGCCCCGGGCTTTGCTTCTTACCCTCCCCTTTTGAATGTTCATTCCCAGCTTTCCTAGTATGTATTGAAATTTCTGGACATGCAATGTAGTACGAGTCATCCTCCTTGCTCTTCCTTATATCCCTGCACAGGATCCAGGCTTGCCCAAAAGCACATGGTGTGGAAAGGGGAGCAGCAGAGATCTGCCTGTTGCATTTTAAGCAAGCCGATCTCCAGCTACCGCCAACTTTGTGTTGAGTCCAGGAACAGACTAAGCCCAGGAAACTGGCAGTTACTGGTTGCTGGGAAAAGGTCAAGTGGATTCTAAGAAGCAGAAATCACAATTTGTTCCCACAGCTTCTTTAGGTACCAATACTGAAGCCATGTCAGATTCTTCACGGGCAACCACTGAAATTGAGGAGGTAAGATAAGCTACCAAGAAGCCCAGGTCTACTTCAGAGCAGCAAACAAGCTCAGAATAAAGCATTGCCTGCTATTTCTTCAAAATAAGAGGACACAAAGTACAGCAAACATCTGAAATCATAAGATGTTTTTGTCCTTAAATGGGCAAGAAACCTAAGAAATACTTCAGGCTTCTATGGAAGAGCTTCCAAAAGACTGACTTCCAAGGGTAACACCAAGCCATGATAACTTACTAAACTTTCTGTGGATTATATGTGGGTTTTGTGGTTCTCCAGAAAAAATGGGAGACAGTGATCCTCAATTGTAACTGCCCGGAATATGTGAGGAAGTACAAATCTGACAAACTCCTGAGGGTCCTACATTAATTCTAAAGCATCTACAGCTGCAGATGTCTCATGGACACATGCCAAAATCATACCAAGATTGGAGATCAATAGGCAAGAGAGCCAGGACCAGGTCTAACCGCCTCCTGTAGCTGGTTCTGCCACACTTGGGGCTCACCAACACCAGTTGAGGGTTTAGCCTCCTCTCGTCCTATAAAGAAATTCCTGACTGCTGCTATGCCTTGGATTCCTTTCCTGGTGAGGCTCACACACCGTGCTTGTGCCCAATCCCAGTCATAGGCATCAACTTACTGCAAGGAAAGAAGGAAAGGGAACAGCCTCTTTCATCCCTCTGGCATTATTCACCATGTGAGAGCCACAGAACTGGAGTTACAGTCACATTCCCAACCTAGTAGCACATCCCTGGCCCTGGAGGAGAACCCTAACCCCCACTGTGAGCTAGGACAGCACTTGCCATTCACACACTGAAACAAACACCATAAAGGTATCTTTTTAATACTCTCCCATTTCAAGCAAATATTTTTTATTTATTTTTTATTTCTAATTACTTAGTTCCTGCTGCCTTTTGTCTGGGGACCACAAATTACTTTTGTGGTAGAAAAAGTAATAGGCTGCTTTGACATCCATCTTAAGTGAATCAAGTTTCATTTGCTGACTTGCTACCTGGCAGTGAAGACACGGAAGATTTAAAAAGACAAGTTAAATACAAGGACTGCTCACTGTCCTTCACACAGAAGATTTACCTGTGTGCTCTCTTAAAGCACAGTTACCTTCTACACGATTGCTCGTGTGTCAGTGATCACTTTAAAACAACTGTGAAAAATTAAAGACAAAATAGCCTGTTAATGGCCAGACTGGGATGGGAGTGAAAGTAGAAGAAACCAGTGAAAATTATTATAATTTTTGAAGTATATGAATCAATCCACTTGCAGGATTATTAGGATAGTTCCTGCCTACATGGGTAAAAAACATGCACATAATTAAGGCAATATGCTAGGGTGAAGTACTCATCCCCTCCTCCCCTCATGTATTTAATGCCAGCATATGAAAGCTGTTGGAGACTCAGCTAGTGACTAGGACTGTCAGGTAATATGGGAGGCAAGAGGGCACATGCAGCAGAAGTAATAAAAATTCCCTTGTGAAGGAACCTGAGGTGCAGACTGTAAGCACTAGGAGTTGGTCTCCCCATGGAGGCAAACATCTGTGGATATACATAGGGATATAGACCTGCAACAGTTTGAGACAAGCTCTTTTAGATATCTGATAGTCCTGCAAGTGCTACATCTGATGACTTTGCTGACTGCTTCTCCTCTTCTACTCCCCTCCGGGGTACTGTGTCTAGTTCTGGAGCCCTCAATACAGGAAGGACATGGAACTCTTGGAGAAAGTCCACAGAAGGGTCACAAAGATGATCAGAGGGCTGGAGTATCTCTCCTGTGAGGACAGGCTGAGAGAGCTGGGGCTGTTCAGCCTGGAGAAGAGAAGACTCCAAGGTGGCCTTCCTGAAGGGGCTACAGGAAAGCTGGGGAGGGACTTCTTACAAGGACTTTTAGTGATGGACGAGAGGTAATGGTTTCAACCCGAAGGAGGGGAGATTTACATTATGTATTAGGAAGAAATTCTTTGGTGTGAGAGTGGTGAGACACTGGAACAGGCTGCTCAGGGAGGCTGTGGAAGCCCCCTCCCTGGAAGTGTTCAAGGCCAGGTTGGATGGGGCTCTGAGCAACCTGGTCTAGTGGGAGGTGTCCCTGCCCATGCAGGGGGTTAGAATTAGATGATCTTTGAGGTCCCTTCCAACCCAAACCATTCTAGGATTCTATGATGATTCTATTTTAGGTATACCAGAATGTCCTGGCCTATTGCAACAAAAATTATGAACTGCACATGTATTTAGAAAGAGTAAAAGTTTTTTAGTGAAGTGCTACCTTAAAAGATCATTTTAAATGACCCCACTGATTCTCCAGGTCTAAGCATTTTATTAGGTGTACAAAGATTGGTTTCCTGTAGTCCTTCATTTTGCAATAGGTGGTATTTAAGTGCTATTTTTTCCAGCACTTGAAGGAAATACTAAAAAACCAGCAATCTTCCTTTGTTCCACTGTAACCATTAATATATTAGCACCCAAGACTTGCCAAAACAAACCAGTCAGAGTTCTACACAGGAAACTACCTCACCTGCTGTAATGGCAGATTTGATAGGGCAAGTTGATAGGTTCCTGGGGAAGGTGCTATATAATCTGTGAGATGAAGGAGAGAGGAGACCAAGTGTCATATTACATGACACATGGATTAATGATATGGTCTGTGTCTCATTAGTTCTCACATAGCTTTCCATGGCTTATGCAGAGACACAGCTATTATCTGTATCAAATTTAGGTGTTTTATAGCTGTAATGATGCAATAGGATAGAAGCATGGACAACACCACATGGAAATTATATACTCATCCAAGCAAATGACATGGCACTCAGAACACTCACCTTGTTGAGAACATCCCGTTGACAGCCAAGATAGAGATGAGGCAGGATTCTGGTTGGGCCAATGTTGGAGACAGGGAGGCAGGGCTGAGAAATGCAAGTAGGGACGAGCGTGGATTTTCCTTCACAGAGACCAGGGAAAG